AGGGTGACTCTGGGTCCTGTTTATATGATAATGAGAAGCAGTGGCACACTGTTAAATTTTATATTGGTCAGCGCTACATGTAAAATACAAAAAATAAAGAGCCACATACAGATAATGTCCCAGTGATTCTACATCTGCAGAGGCAAAGTGCTAGAAAAGGTTGATGTCTGGATGCTGAACTGCTATACCAGCAGTGTGCTATATCATACATGTTGAATAGAAGTTGAAATTAAAAACTACAGCTACAGTAGTTTTTCAGTAAGACTTCATTTTCAGTACCTCATTTTTTCATTATGCTTAAGAGACATGGCTAGAAAATGCCACAGAAACATTTTAATTTTCAATTTGCTACGAGAGGAAAGGCAGTTCTTTATTATTCTTTTTACGTAACATTTCTTCATTTGTCCCAAGTGAGTCTTTGCGTATCTTGGTGGCTTTCTTGATTTTTAGGAAAAGTTAGATAGGACTATGTTTTTACTTTATTGCTGCTGCTTTCTTACAAGTATTATTTAAAAAAACAAATAAGAGGCTCCTTTATATCAGAAGTTGATGGGTAGTCTGACAAGTTGGTAGTTCGGTCTGATGCTGGTCTAAAACTGTTTCCCACAAGAGATTAATAAAACCAAGAAAAAACCCAGTTAGTGATCAAGTATATTCTTTCTTTCTCTCTGCCTTCTAGATACTTAAATTTAGAGATAATTAAGCAATAAGTCTTAGGCTGAAAATTTCCATTCAGTTTCTGTTTTAATAGGCAGCTGGTCCTGATAGGCTGTAGAGAGGTTTTGTGGTGTTGATACAGAAAGGTTTTCTTTTAACGGCTGGCGTTTCAGATGGTGTGATTAGGGAATGAGTTTTCCAATTTTATGGGTTTTTTTCCCCGTAGTTTAAGAAAAAAAATCTTTGACAGCAGAAGCAGTGACTTTTGATAGAGGGAATAACTGAACTAAGTTCTCTGTTCTTCAGCCTTCTCATGGTAACACCTGCGTTATGTAAAATCACTTGCAATTGGATAAGAGTAAGTTTTTCTTAAAAAAAAAAAATGTGTCATAGTTTGAAATTGTGATATATTAGTTTACACATTGTGAAAGAAGATATCATCAAAAAGAATAAATCAAATTTCTTGGGTTTTAGTATAGAAAAAGCAGGGACACAGTCTGCACCCAGAAGTGCATGGTATTTTGATATTGGCATAAACATGTTCCTATTTGGATCTTTGACTGCAGTGACTTGAGTGATAGAGAGAAAATTGCTGTTTTTCTTTTTTACTTGGAAGATATTTTCTATGCTGAAAACTGAGCACTGAACCTGTAGTTATTACTGTATGGTGTGTGTTTTGCCTCAGGTTTCCCATCATTGTTACTGTTGATTTAAATCTGTTAAATTTCTTAGAGGAAAGTCCTGTGATTTGTGGGCAGTTGCAGCTATTGGGGATTTATAGGGTGTTACATGCCATGCAGTGCTTCTCAGTACTGTCTCAACAATCTGCAGCGTGTCTTTACTGCATACGTTTATGCAGAACTTACTCATTTATTGCCCCATCTACTACCTCCTCTGTAAGTAAGAGCTTCAGGTTTCTGGGCTGTAATACTGTCTTAGTAGAGGTTATGCCTCCAAGTCAACATTCTGCTGAAGCTCAGATTGAAACATCATATGAAAGGACATGATGAAGTAACCATTTGTTGTAGTCCTCAGAGCCTGTCAGTTACTTGTCCTATGGCCAGTAAACAGTAAAGTTTCTCACAATTCAGTAGAAATGAAGTCACACCTGTTAATCTTACCTGGTTTTTTTGTATGTGCTGTAGTTGTACCAAGACCTGTGGGAGTATGTGGTGTCCATAAGGAAGCATACAGGCAGAAACTCTGGTGTAGTTTCACACATTTCTAATGATTTGAATGATTAGACTTGAAGTAAGCTCTGCCCAGCATAGGCTAGTCTTGCTTGAACTCTTATAGTGCTTTTTACGAGTTAATTTCAAACTTTTTTTAAGCATATATGAATACTGCCATACCATCTAAAGAGTTGATAAATGCTTCTCTAGTTTCAAAAATGCTTGCTGCTACTCAGTTTGTCTTTTCCCATTTCCTTGTGTTGATTTAACACGCTGGGATAAGAAAGCTTAGTAGGACTTTATTGATGCTATGGCCTTTAGATTTTGTTTCTGTGTTTTTCTTTGTTCTGTGTACTTATTAGCTGTTAGTCTACAGTGGTGATCCTGCATTGTCCTTCCTACATGGCAACCCTAAGTCAGTTGTGAACATTATTTGTTCTTCTTGTGTCTTGTAAATTTCTTTCTTTCTCTCCCCATCCCTTGCACTTCTGCCTGCAGGTTTGTTTTGTAGTCTTGCATTTATTAGTAAGGTGGTTGAGTATTGACTTAAAGATTTTCACTCTTGTAGGGTGTTCCTGTTAGTTGATATGCATTTGGGTTGTATTATTAGTCTGCTCTTGTCCTTATTAGGCCAATTTATTGTGAGAAACAGGGTTTGTGAAATAGCTCTTACTTTGCTGGTCCTGCTCAGAAGCCTAGAACGAATTTATTCCCAGACTCCCAGCTTTGTTGAGAGGTAATAAGCAAGATAAGTTACATATTTTGTCTGAATAGTGAGTATTCTATGACCCACATCTGCTGAGAGGTTGTTAGCACTTAACAGAGACCTTACGTGATAGCTAGCTGACCATTTCATAAAGAAAAAGATAATGAATTAGTTGGGTTTTTTGCATCCAGCTCCGTAACTACTAGCATTATTTATTAGACTTTTTTTTTATCCCGTCCCAGTCGCTTTGTTTTTGAACTTTCCACTTAATTTCTATGTTCAAGAACATCAAACCATTTAAAATTTCCCATCAACTATGAATCTAACTGACTTGATTTTTGCTTACTTATCTAAGTAAACAGGATTTTTTTTCCCTGTAGTCTCTCCACCATTCTCTCCTGTTACTGGTTTACATGTTTTTCTTAATGTTGGCAAGTTGTTTGACCAAGATGGCTTATTTCAGTGTCAGACCTATGCTACCTTAAAAAAAAAAAAAAAAAAAGGACTTGGTTTTGGTTGCCTCTGGGTGCATGTGCCATTGAACCTATGGTTAGCACTGTAGTGGTGTGTATGAAGTACATTGCTGCTGTATGGAAAGCTAACTTAATTACCATCCTTATGGCTTAGTGTTTGCATCGTTTTTAGATTTGGTAATCCACATTATTATTGCTGCCTTTGGGCAAGCCTTGTCCTGCATGGAAGTATTTGATTCCCTTCCCCCCTCCGAGGTTATGTGGGATTTACCCATTTTTTGGTAGCTTTTTGGTGCTGGGACTTGGCTGGCTGGTATTTACTTGTGTCTCAACAGAAAACTCAGAATAGAGAAATCTTATTGCTCTTCTTTTATAGTTAATGCTGACTTCCACAGCACTTCCCCTGACATTTACTTGTGGCACTTTGCTATGCTGAGAAATGCTGTTTTTTTATAGGTCTGATTTACCCAGCATTAAATGTAAGGTAACATTTATGTACAAGAACACTATCACAATTAAAATCGTCATGGAGTGCTGTTAATTTCTGGTAAATAGTTTAAACTCCAGTTCTATTCTGTAATGGATGCCCAGCTTTATTTGGGGAGAGAGGGTAGTGGTGTAGTACCATACCTGAAGTAAGCCTTTGATGACAGAAATAGGAAGTTTGGGAGCAGACTTGTTGCTTCCCAGTTTTCCTCTCAGTAGCTGCGAGGAGACCCAGCAGAAGTCTCCACATCTCCCCCTTCAAAACAAGGAAGCTTCACCAGGTCGGTTTGTTTCTCTCAAAGTTGACAGTTGCAGACGGCGTACATTCTACAGCACTCTGTTTAGGAATACCTTCATTTCTTCTTTACCAGTAGAGTCTTGTTGGTGTTAGCAAAAGCAGAAACAGGAGTGATTTCTGTTCTGGTTTGTGGTTTTAGAAAGGTGCCAATTAAGTATGTTCTAGGGCAGAGGATCATCAATCTGCCCTTTTCCCCCCCCCCGGCATCTGAGGTGTCAGCCAGGTGATTTGTGCTGGCAAAGATCGGCTAAGTTTTGATACCAGCTTTTGGTTTTATCATTTTCCATTCTGGCTTCGTGCTTACTCTGTTTTTTAAGTGCATTTGCAGCCAATGTGTAAATAATTTGAAATTATTTTGCCCTGAGGTGGTATGAATCTGATGGGTTTTTTTAGTAATATCTTTGAAATATGGTAGTATTAACCTAATGAGGAGTCTTACTTTTTACATTTTAACCTGGCTACTTTGTGAAGTTGTTGTAGAAAACTAAATTTTTCTAAGTTTTTGAATGGTCATGAAATAATATTGTGCTTTCTAAGTATGTTAAATATGTTGCAAAATTAATACACAGGTGGATAATGTGGCAGCTCAAGTATATGCCAAGGAAAACACCACTGCCAGTGACACATCCAGAGTTGTCTGCATGGGGAGTTCTGCTGCTGTTACTGTGACAATAAAACACAGTCTGCATAGCTTCTTTTTTTTTTTTTTAAGTGAGATACACTGCTAAATGACTTTTTTGTTTTAATGAGTACTGCCGATCTGTAAAGATTGAAAACAGTCTTATACATTTTAGTTGGACAGGTCTTTGTGGAGTAGACTTAACTGTGAAGAGGGGTGTATGTATCTATGGGGTTTGATGGAGCTAAACAAGGATTTAGGAGCATGTGGGGGTGCAAGGTTTGCGTGGGTAATAAACATTTCTACTGCTTTTTTTCCCTTACTTTTACTTCTCAATATCAATTTGAATGTTCTTGATTTTTTTTTTTTTTTGGCTTCACAAAGTATCTGATTATACTCTGAATTCTCAGTTCTTGTTCATTTTTAACTTTATTCATCTCAACTTATTTAATAGAACTGCATCCGTTTGTGTGCTACTCATTTGTTTGGTCTAACTTAATTGATTTACAGGTGAAGCTAAGGCATTTTTTTTCCTTTTAACCCTGCTACCTTGGCAATTGTGTAATAGCGTACTAACTTCTCATTGCAGCCAGTCAGATGATGATTCTGGGTCAGCGTCGGGTTCTGGATCTGGTTCAAGCTCTGGAAGCAGCAGTGACGGAAGCAGCAGCCAGTCAGGCAGCAGTGACTCTGACTCCGGTTCAGAGTCAGGCACTCAGTCAGAGTCAGAGTCTGACACATCTAGAGAGAAGAAACATATTCAAGCGAAACCGCCAAAAGTTGACGGATCTGAGGTAAACAAAATATAAATGAACCTGTTGTAAGGGAAAAAATATTTTAAAAAATCTTTCTGTGTGGTTAGTCTCAAGAGCAGTTTTCATTTAAAAAAAATAAGAAGTGATGAAGTGTTTTTAATTAGGTTTTAGCTTGGTTGGCTTAGTGTTTATCTGTCTTAAAAATTGGGCTGAGTTTCTCAAGGATAAGTATTTGAGTTGACGCTTTTAAAATTCTCAAGTTTGAGTTAAGTGCTTACCTAAATTTCATCATACAGAAGCATGCACTAATTTACTGGTACTTATGGAAGACAAAGGCACACATAATGCTGTTATTTCTGAAATCCTATTTTTATGTTATTTCCCTAATCCTTAGTTTCCTTGTATCAATAAATGATTGCATAAAAATTTCAAGCTTACATACAGTTGGCTTTCTTTGTCAATAAGTTAGCTAAATTCAGGAAATAGTGGTGTTTAGAAATCTATTAAATCCTATGAGCCAAAATTACCTACACTCTTCTGTGTTTTATGGACTTAATTGGGGTGGTAGACCATATTTATTCAAGGTAGACATCTGTTAGTTACTACCAGAATTGAAGATTGTTAAGGACTCTCTGTTACATTTTTTTTCATGTACTTCATTGTTATAGTATAAAACAAAAACATATCATCCAAGTGGTCTGAAAGGATTTAGCTGAATCCGTTTAAAAATTTACTTTATAAATGTTTTACCTTAAAATATGAAAATCATAGATAATAATTCATAACTTTATAAATGTTTTACCTTAAACTTACACAACTATTGTGCTGTAGAAAGTGTCCTGGCAATTACTATATGACATTCTGTTCTGTGGAAATGTTGCTACTTTAAAATGCTATCTAATACTACTAATGCATGCACTATTTTGTAGTGAATTTTTTTAATTTATAAAATTAAGATCAGTCTTAATAGCTGTGCAATTCAGGAAAGGTAAATATGTGGTAAACTGGAGATTTTCGGTATGTTTAACTGATTTTTGCATCTCTATTCCTGTTCAGTTCTGGAAGTCTAGTCCAAGCATACTTGCTGTGCAAAGATCAGCAGTGCTCAAGAAGCAACAGCAACAACAAAAGGCAGCCTCCTCAGACAGTGGTTCAGAAGAGGTGAATAATGTAATTTAGATTTTTAAAATGTAAACGTGCCTGTCTCATTATCTCGTATGTTAGAATAAAATTGCGTAGAGCCAAGTTATATTCTCTAAGTGTGCTTAGAAATCTGGTTTTAGTCTACAAAAGTAACACTCAAATAACTGACATTTTTACAAAGAAAAGTAAAAGTACCTCTAGTTACTAATTTTCAAGTGAGTTGTGCCAAAACTATAGCAGCCTCTATTATGTGGTATTTTTAGGTAGATATTCAGTGATGTATGGGCAAAATTTTCAAGCCACACAGTACTGACTTGCATTGTATTTATGGCTTCTTGAGTTTTGTAAAAACTGTAAAAAAGCTGAAAGATTTTTTTCAGCTTGTTTCTGTATAAAGGTAGCTGCTATAATTTTCAAAAATTCTGCATGGAGTACAAAACTTTTTTGCAATTTTTTAAACTTTTACTACAAAAGAATTCTCATACTTTTAGAAGAACACCTGTATTCTAGATATTTTAAAACCTAAATTACATGCTAAAGAGATGTTGACTTTGTGCAGCAGGAACATCTTAAGGACACTAGTGGCTATGAACTGGAATTTATTTATAAAGCTGCATTTTTCTCCTTCACTATGAAAACTGCAGTGTAATCAGACTCATTTGGTTGGATTTCTGATTTTGGCTGGTTTAGCAGCTCATCATTAAAACTTAAACACAGAACTTAGTCACATATCGTTAAAAGGTTAATTGACAGATGTTGTTAAGTACTCTCTTTCAGAAGAATGTTTTCAGGATAAATCTTAATCTGAATTTAAACTTAATCGTGATAGTGGTTTTAGGAAAATCTAATTTTAAGAGGGTTCTTGTTTTTTCTTTGAACATAGAGAAAGAAGAAACATGCTATCCTCAAAATTTTCTTAAACAGGTGTTTAAATATGAAAGAATTTTGCAGGTCAGAAAGTTCCTGAGGGTAAGAGATTTTATTAGGATTTTGATAGAACATTCATTTTAATTAATTTAGGGCAGCTTAAACCATGACTGTTTTTACATCGGCACGATGTTTACTTTTGTAGACGGGGGTTTTTTTGTGATGTTCTTTAGAGCTATGCTGACACAAGGTATTCATAGATGGATAAATATAAGAACAGTAGTGGTCTTTATCTCATTTTGCATTAACGGGGTGACAAAGAGAGTGAAACATGAATAATATGCTTCCAGTTTGAAAGTGGGAGCTGATTTATCTTTTCGATGTTAGAAGTACTTCATTCTTTTTGAGATAACGATGCAGTGGGTTTTTTTTTCTTCACTTGCAGGATTCATCAAGTAGTGAAGATTCTGCAGATGACTCATCCAGTGAAACCAAGAAGAAAAAACATAAAGAGTAAGATATTTTTATAAGTGATATCACGTAATTTTTTTTGTTGTAGTGACATATGCATAGAATTCGTGCTTCATTTCTCCACACTTGAAATGCTTAAGTTCCCTTTTTAATTCATCTTGATCTTGCATTTCCAATTTTTGATAAATATTTTGGAATATTTAAAATAAGCTCTTAAAGAAACATCTATATTGTATTAATTTCTCAGCAAACAAGTCTGCAGTATTGTTCAAAAACATTCATCAGTGCTTCTATTTTTAAAATACTTTGTTGCAGTTTATTTTTCAGCTGAAGGCTGTCCCTAAAATTCTTGTAGAAATTACAAACTACTTAAGCAGATTGTCTCACAACAAACTTAAGTTAGAATCCTACAGTTAATGCCAGATTCTTCTGGTATCTCCCCTCTTACCCTCCCCCAGACATGCCTAAAAGTTGATATAGTTTTGATTGTAATTAACTTTACTGGGTAGCAAAGAATTTTAACTGCAAATAAGCTCCTTCTAAATGATAGATCAAAAAGTTGTGAAAAGGATTATACATTGTTATTGTGGCAGTGAGATGCCAATTCATTAATCACTTCAGTGTTCAAGGTTGCCAGTATAATATCTTAAAGAAATGGTAGTTGGGGGGAAGAAAAAGGGGGAGGGGCACAAAAAACCCCTGCACTATGTAAAATGGTACTTCCCTAGCCATGAGCTGTTATTCACAGTCTTCTGTTAGTTAAGAGTTTGATTGCATTTAATAGCATATTGTATTAAAGGAAGGATATTATAGGAACCCATAACCAAATCATTTTGTATATCTACTGCTTGAATTTTTGTCCCATGGGTCTCCTGAACAAGTGTGTCTGCACTTGTTATCTGACATGCAAACTGGACATTTCTCAGTATTTAACTTAGTACATGATCAAACCATACAGGATGGTGCTTTACATCTGTTTTTTATATTTCCAAATAAATGCAGGTCATGGATTTGTGTTAGTGTTATTTTAATTTACTGTTTGCAGAAAATGTATTCTAATAAGACATTCTGTACCGTTGGCCATGTGCCATCTGCACAATAAACATATATGTGTGTTTGTCTTGAATGAGTGGAACGATGGTAGTGTGATGTCTGCCGGGACTCAATGTCCTGGAAGACAAGAAAGAGAGAAGAAGAGAGGGATCTAAGCAATGATTCTTAGGCTTCCTGATTGGATATTTAAGGAAGAGATTTTTTGGTTATATTCCAGCTTTGATCATTATTACTGCTCTAGCACTGTGGTCAAGTAGACCTAAAACTGATGCTACTATAATGATTTAGCAGCTTTTCAATAATGTATATCAGACTCTTTCTTTCTTTCTTTTTTGTGAAGCTATTAAGATTAAATTTGTCCTTATAAAGTCAGAGTTTGAAGCAAGATACCATTCATCAGTGGGTACATCTTTCCTGTTGCAAAGAGGAAGATCTCAGTTAGCAAGAACAAGGGAGATCCTGCTGCTCAGTCACAAGTGTTGTCTTACTCATAGTATGTTGCCTAGTCATGAAGCACTGATTTGAGAACTCATGGGGAGCTTTTGGGCACCAGTGCCACTCACAGATTGCTGCAATTCAATTTTTCTGGATGTTTCTCAAATCTGCTTCTATTATTTTTTGATTCCTGTGAAAAAGTTGTTGATTCTTTATATGGGCCACAGGGACCATAGGCGTTAGACAATATGCAACTCTGGAATAAAACATGACAGTCCTTTAATGATCTGAGCACGTGTAAGTTCTGATGATTATGTATCTTTCCAGTTAGACTTGTTAAGTGCTTTGTTTTCTTAATGTCATGTTAACTCATTTCTTCATGGTAAAATTTATATAGAAATCCAGATGTTTGTTTTTTTGGATTTTAAATCTATTTCTTTGTAACAGAAAACTTAGTCCATTCAAGCCACTGGGTGTTTTTACTTACCTGATATTTGTTGATGACAATTTTCTGTCTCATCAGCTGAAGTAACTGTGCAGTGTGTTGAAATTACAGCAGATACCCTGTGGATGAATAGATGATTTAAAATAAAATAAGTTAAAAAAAAAAAAAAGAAAAACCCAATGTAATTTCCTCTTTTGTCTTCCAATATACACAGTGAAGACTGGCAAATGTCAGGATCAGGGTCAGTATCAGGAACTGGTTCTGAGTCTGAATCAGAGGAAGATGGGGAGAAAAGCAGTTGTGAAGAGAGTGAATCTGACTATGAGCCAAAAAACAAGGTTAAAAGCCGTAAGCCTCCAACCAGGTAAGAAGTCATGCATTTGGGTACTGTGGTACTATTTCTAGTAAGTGAGTATTTACTACCACTGTATATGCAAATGAAAACATTAATGCTTATTAAAAAAAAAGGTTTTTTTAAAGCTACATAAGGTGTTGATAATAGTAATGCATTCTAGCGAATCCCTTTTTCTGTCTTCTCTAACTGAAATTGGAGTAGCTGAGCATTCACGAAATACATGTGTTCAGAGAGCAATACAGAAGATTTATAGCTGTTCCTGTTTAAACATTGTTATTGTGTATACCTTACTGTTTTCAAGAATTAAGTCAAAAAGTGGGAAAAAGAGTGCAGTACTGAAAAAGAGGCAACTTGATTCATCGGATGAGGAAGAGGAGGAGGAGGATGATGATGATGATTATGATAAGAGGGGATCTCGCCGCCAGGCAACAGTCAACATTAGCTACAAAGAAGCTGAAGAAACCAAGACAGATTCTGATGATTTGCTGGAAGTTTGTGGAGAAGACGTCCCACAACCTGAAGAAGATGAATTTGAAACAATAGAGAAGTTCATGGATAGTCGAGTTGGCCGAAAAGGAGGTATTTTTATTTTTTTTGAGGGTGTTCTTAAGATTTTAGAGTGTATTGTGATGCAACTTCAGCAAGTGTTCTCAGTTGTTAATCACCTCTGGGGTATATAAACATCAATAAAAAGTCACCTTGTTTTGTCTTTCGTATCTGCTAATGATGTTCCTTTTTGAAGTCCAAGTGTTGCAAAGTAAGATGTAGAAGAATTGCACATCTAAGTAGAAAATAAAAATTAAGTGGAAGATAGCTCTGTATTGCATAAATGCATACCATATTGTTACACCAATGTTTGTACCATTTAGTGATACTTGATCAGTATATATTATGTGTAGCGGAGTAGAGAAAGTGGACTAGATAGGGGAGCTGACTGGTAACCTGAACCCTGAAAGGGTTACTCTTGAAAGTATTTTGTGAATAGTGGTAGGCATGTGGTGTTTCTTGTAGTAATAGGATGCAGTGTCTAGCAGCTCTGCTTTTGTGTTTGAGTCTGAACACTAGGATTCTAATTATAAAAACAAACACACAAAAAAACCCCAGCCCTAGGCCCCTTGCGCTTCAGAGCTACTTTTCTCCATTAGTTATATCCAATCTTTAAAGGTTGTGACACATCTCAGAACTTGCACTCTTCTTCCTTCCAAATTTCTTGTCCCAAATTCTAGCGTATCCTGTTCCGTGCATAGAGTAACTGCTGTAGTCAAACCCTTTGGAACTAAGCTGCTTGTATTCTTCCTGCCTGGGTGATGTTGCTGTTTGTGTTGTCTTGCTGTTGCCACACTCTGTGGCTTTATCTGGTTGTCCTCACAAATGAGCTTGTTTTCTGCTGCTAGTATACTTCAGCTGTGATACAGACTGTACTTAATTAAAAATTTTCCCAGGTCAGATCAAAAGGGCAGAAAAAGTAGTAAAACATGTTTAGGAAGAAATAGATTCATAGTATCCCTTAGTAGTAGGTTATTGATGTCTCAAGGCTGACCAAGCATAATGTCAGATGCCTTTTGTATGCTCAGAGATGAGAGTAATGTGATAGAGATGATGTCAAGCAGGGTTAGTGTTCACTGGTGATCGCTTTAAAAACTACAAAGATTCTTATGAGGAAAGATATTGTAGGTCAGTTGCAGAAGTTAGAGTTGCTTTTTTGATTCTCTTTTGACTACTTGAGCATGTATTAACATATCTATGTCATAATCATCCAAATAAGATTAATGACATGAGAGCTGTAGATACTAGTTAAATATAAGCTCATCTAAAAGTATCACTAATTACTTTCTGCACTACGTTTCTTACTGGTTAACTTAGAGAATGCACACTTAATTAAGCCTAATGGATGTGGTTTCTTCCTCAGCCACGGGTGCTGCAACCACCATCTATGCAGTTGAGGCAGATGGGGACCCAAATGCTGGGTTTGAAAAGTCAAAGGAGCCAGGAGAAATACAGTATCTTATTAAATGGAAAGGTTGGTCACACATCCATAACACTTGGGAAACCGAGGAAACACTGAAGCAACAAAATGTTAAAGGAATGAAGAAACTGGACAATTACAAAAAAAAGGATCAGGAAACAAAACGATGGTGAATATTTTTATGTAGACTTCCATGATATTTGTTTTGTAACAATGTACATGTTCTGTTGTGTTTCTGAGCCTTGTTATATCCAGGGCATCCTGTCTGTGCAACAGGAAAAAAGACTTTAATAGTTGAAGTCTCCTTAACATGTTCCTTTAAGATAACCTGAATCTGATTTTAGTGTGTGTATGTGTGTTGTAAATGGAGTTTTAACAAGATGGGTAGTGTTTAAAAGTAAATAATAAATTGTGCTTTTTACTGATTTTCTTGTTATACTTTGATCAGAGTTCCTCAGGAGTCACTGCAGAAATGGCTAATGAACCAAGAAAATACTACTTTAAAGAATTCAGTTTTCTTGGCTCAAAACTGAGGTTCAAGCCTGAGAACAAAATCCTGAAGAAATCCATACATTTTAAAGTAACCTTTTTGGTTTCAGTTTTATTAGTCTGTTTAATATACTCAATGAATACTGGTGGGATTTTTAGCAACTTAATCACAAGATGAATTTGTATGGAGTGAGACATCCTGAATACTGTTCCAGGAAGCTACCCTGTAAAGTACACTGCTTACTGTTGAGAACAGGTACTCTGAGTTAGCTGCATGACTAGTACCACCAGTAGCTGTATAAGTTCTGTCTCTTGATAAGCATTCTTGGTCATTGATAATGAGGCACCTAGGCTAGATGCAACAGTTCTGTGGTAGGAATTTTTAAGTTGTCCCTTCAAAGAAGTTCTCTAAGCAACATTCCTGTCATGCTTACATTCAGAGCTTTAGAGTTGCCAAATTTTCTTAGTTTTAGAAGTACACGGTGTAGTAAGTGTTGTAAATTAATTCCCATTACAGGCTGAAAAATGCTTCTCCAGAAGATGTGGAATATTACAACTGCCAGCAGGAGCTTACAGATGACCTGCATAAACAATATCAGATAGTGGAAAGAATAATTGGTATGTTGCAAGCTTGCAGACAGAAAACAGTGTTGAGAATTCTCCGTGTTCACTGTTTATGTGTTGCTTTTGTAGTTAAGAAATTCAGAATATGAGTATCACTAACTTTTTAATTGAAAACTAAACTTTGAGTGAAAAGTTGTCATAGTGTCTGTGTCTTGAAGCTAGCTTATCTTGTCTTATTACCTAAAATGAGTATTTTCATTAGACACAGAAGTAAAATGCTGATCAGATATCTGTGGTGTATTTGTGCAGCTCATTCAAACCAGAAATCAGCAGCTGGTTATCCAGACTACTATTGTAAATGGCAGGGTCTGCCTTATTCAGAATGTAGCTGGGAAGATGGTGCGCTCATTGCCAAGAAATTTCAGGCACGCATTGATGAGTACTTTAGCAGAAATCAATCCAAGACCACTCCCTTTAGGGACTGCAAGGTGAGTATGTAATTTGCAATGGGTAAGTTGTACTGGGTCTGGCTGGGATGGAGTTAATTTTCTTCATAGCAGCCTGTATGGCCCATGTTTTAAATTTGTTACCTAAACAGTGTTAATAAATGTTATTGTTTTGGCTGTTGCTGAAGAGTGCACAGCGTCAAGGCCTTCTCTGTTTCTTGCTATGCCCTCCCCACCATGAATGTGCTGGGAGAGAACACAGTCTTTACAGCTGATCCTAACTAACCAAAGAGATATTCCATGCTGTTTAATGGCATGCTCAACTGTAAAACTGGTTGGGCTATGCAGGGGATTCGAAAGTGGATGTTGCTTGGAGACTTGCTGGTCATCAGTCTCCTGGTGAATTAATGTGTGACTCCCTTTCTGTCTTTCTGTCACTTGTGGGTTTTGTTGTTTTGGGTTTTTTTGGTTGTGGGTTTTTCTTTTGACTGGTTGGGTGTTTTTCCTTCACCCAGTGAACTCTTTAGGTTGACCCACAAGTTTTTCCTCACTTTTGCCCTTTCAGTTCTCTCCCTTGTTCCACTAGGGTGGGGAGTGAATAAGCAACTGGGTGGCTTAGCTACTGGCCAGGTTCAATGCCTGATCAAGCATCAGCTGTGGTAATAAAAATGGGAAAATTTTCTAAGAATCCAGAGATAAGGTACATATTTGAAATATTCTTTGAAGGTTGCTCGGAATAGTAATAATCATATATATATATATATAGTAATATATGTGGAAAATATCACTACTAAGCTTTTTGTAGATTTTGTAGATTTTGTAGATTAAAAGTGTTTTTACTGACATTCAAAGATGGTCTTGTTTGGCATTGGAGTTAATGTGACTCCCATTGTGAAATTTAGATTAGCAGTCAAAGTAATTTCAGCTTGCAAATGGCTTGGTGTTTTTATATGGCCTATATTTCATCCATGGATAAAGACTAGACTTGGTGACCCAGTAGATCCCTATTGCTATTTTCCTATGGGAAGATGTTTTGGTAACTTCAGTCAGTTGTGATGACTGATCATCAGTTTGCTTTTGATAGGTTCTAAAGCAGAGGCCAAGGTTTGTTGCACTAAAGAAACAACCATCATACATCGGAGGACATGAAAGCTTAGAGTTAAGAGATTATCAGCTAAATGGATTGAATTGGCTTGCTCATTCCTGGTGCAAGTAAGTGTAGTCTGAAATGAGTTTTCTGTTTGTAATAATAAGCATTTATAAAACTATTAAATTGATTTTTCTGTTGTTTTTTTTTTTTTGAAGTTGGAGGGTTTCATACAGTAACCTTAAATTAGAGGTCTAAGGGGAGCAGTTTTGCTCTTTAGTACCAAAGCTTATCATTCCATGGCTGTTCTCAAAAAACAGCCAAGCTCTGTTGTTGCTTTGCTTTTAGTTTCATATGAGGGTAAGTCGTATTTTTAAAAAAACAAACAAGCTACAACAGTAAAACCAGAGAACCAAGAGCAAACACTTCTGAAATGTCATCATTAGTATTATACTTCTAAATCAGACTGATGAGGAATACTTGCAACCTTCTTGTTAATTTAATTTAATTTAAGTATTAAGGGGTGTGTGTGGAAATTCTTTTTATGGAAAAACCATGGAAATAAACTTCTTCAAGATGTATAGTTGCAAAATCTTGAAAAATTGTACGGGTGGTTATTATGCTCAAAAGACAATTTATTCTTGCCCAATTCCTGTCCATCTCTAAATTCTTCCTCTGTGTGTTTTGTTTTGTTTTTTTTTTTAGAGGGAATAGCTGTATTCTTGCAGATGAAATGGGTCTGGGTAAAACAATACAAACAATTTCTTTTCTGAACTACCTGTTTCATGAACATCAGTTGTATGGGCCTTTCTTGCTGGTCGTGCCACTTTCTACCTTGACATCGTGGCAAAGAGAGATTCAAACTTGGGCTCCTCAGATGAATGCTGTAGTTTACTTAGGAGATATAACTAGCAGAAATATGGTGAGTATTTCTTTATCATTGGAAAGGGTTGTAGATAAGTCTCACTTCATGTTCCTGTCCTCTGCTAATCTCCAATATTTTGGTTAGGACTGAGCAAATACTGAAAAACTATGTGTTTTGATTTTAATCTGATACAAATGTGTGTGAAAGATTTCCTTCCTGCATAATAGTGGACAGGATTAAAAATCTAGTCTTGCATTTGAAAACATAATATCTTCTGCCAGTTGATTATTTAGGTAAAAATAAATATGTAAGAAAGCCAGTCATGATCTTAATTTATTTCCTTAAAGGTTGTTGGTTTGTTTTCTTAATGTGTTTTCTAAATGTCTTACCCATTAAAGTGAAACTTGTTTTGTAGAAATTCTTTGCTGTTTCTTCAGAAGTTTAAACAAAATATTTTTGGAGTACCTAGGCAGATTGGAAGTTCAGTCTTGTGTGTATTAATATGTTGTGCTTCTGTTTTGGGATCATATTACTATATATCATTAAACATTTACATTACTGCAGTACTTAAATTCATCCTATTATGCAAGACCTTTTTTCTCTAGCTTATCACTTGATTCTTTTTCTAGATAAGAACTCATGAATGGATGCATCCACAGACCAAACGGTTAAAGTTTAACATACTTCTAACAACATATGAAATTTTGCTGAAGGATAAGGTAATCACACTTCAGGAAGATAAAAATTGTATCTCCACTGTAGAACTGTATATCGATTTGCATATATTTGGTTTGTGGGCCATTAAATTGATGGAGAGTGTGATAGCGTTTGCGTTTGGAAATATGACAGTGTGTGGTTTGGGTTTCTGCTTTTTTTTGGTGTGGGGGTTTTTGTTTTTTTAAGGACACTAGGTTTTCTGTATATGTGGTGAGGCTTTCAGCCTTTTTCCATTTCATTAAGTGGATAGCACTTCTTTTTTTCTCCAGTTTAATTGGGATTCTCCTTGCTGTGATAATCTGCTCCCATCATCAATAACTCCACTTCTTTGCAGAACACTGTCGAGGAACTGAAAAAGAACCCAGCCTCTAGCCCCAAACATGATACAGAACTTTGAAATCCCACATAGCTTTTCTTTGTTATTGTGCATACAGTAATATGTGTACATGTATTAATACTGTCTCCATAATCGTAGCACACAGCGTTATTGTCAATCCTTCTAAAAGTACATGGAAATCTTTATAGCTAGTCAAGAAACAGAACATTTTTACTTCACTTGTTTTTATGTGCTGGGAAGAAGAGGTCAATAGTGTTTGGGGGTTTTTTTCTGTCATGTAAAAATTAATGTGTCAGACTATTGGCCATTTTATTTCCTTTTAAAATTAATTTATGCTTTTCGTGGAATGCTTGCACAGCCTTTCGTTGAATCCGGCAAATGTAAAAGCCATAATTAGTACTAAAAATACATAGCTGTCTATATTTTATTAAAAATAAACCAAAAAGTGATTGTGTTTATAGCTTGATTATAAAATGTGGGAAATGACGTGGTGTTTATTTGTGTAATGTTCTCCCTCTTACCCATTTCTTTAAGACATTCCTTGGTGGTCTGAATTGGGCGTTCATAGGAGTTGACGAAGCTCATCGTTTAAAAAATGATGACTCCCTTCTGTACAAGACTTTAATTGACTTTAAGTCTAACCATCGTCTTCTTATTACTGGAACACCTCTGCAAAACTCCCTCAAAGAGCTTTGGTCTTTGTTGCACTTCATCATGCCAGAAAAGTAAGGAAGAGTTTTACATGATTCTTTTTAATATTTTTTTGGCCAAGTTTAGTATTGTGAAGTAGCAAAGTGATTCGAGAATCAATTGAGGTAGAGAATCAACATGAAAAATAATTTAAATATTCTATATATGTTTTTTTTTCACGCTGCTCCTGGTAAGTAACACTGGTAGCAGTTGTCACCTTTTTCCATTTTAGCAGTCCAAAAAAAATGATGGATTGATGGGTAGGTTAGAACCTGGGAAAAAAGCCTGCATCTTAGCCTAGGAAGAAAAATGTATGGATTTGCTCCGGGGAAATAGAATGGAATCTTTTTTGTGTTAGTACTATTAATGAAAGCTAACTTGTACCAAGATACCCAATATCCTGTAGTTCAGTCAGATGGCTGGTTTTCCCTTAGAGTTTGCATCCAGTAAGCTTAGTGTATTGACCTTGTTTTATACTGACCTCTTTATACCTGAGATAAATGAGAGCTCGTGTGTGAGAGCACATGTTCCTGTCAGACACCTTGTAAACACCGAGCACTGTAGCTCCAATTAATTTTGAGCTATGGATTGTACTGACTTCTTCAGAACCTTACAAGCATAGTCACTAGGGTCTAGTACCCATTCTTCATTTGATCATCACATCTGTTTGCAGAGGACAGTTAGGCTTCAGCTAGACCACACAAGCTGCAAAGCATACATTAAGTATGGCTTTTCATGCTCTTCCCGATGAATGTAGTAATGGAAGTTCTGCAACCATCTAGGTTGCAACCATCAAGGTATCCTTGCAGAAAAAGAAAAATGCTGAATTTCCCCCAGGGAAGTTAAAATTCAGTAGTTTTCATTCTGTAAGTGTTTTTGGAAAATTCCATCCTTCTATTTAAAGGCAAAACATTTGGAATTTCTTGTGAGATGAAATTCAGAAGTTGTATAAATAAAACAGAAGGGAATGGGGAAGAAATCCAAATGTGTGTTTGCACTCTTGTGGTATATTCATACATTTTCTGTGTTGTGTTATCTTTCATCTTGAATTTTGCTTCCTCAGGTCATTCACATTATGTCACTATTTTGCACTCATTCTTTATTATGTTGAAGGTTTTCCTCCTGGGAAGATTTTGAAGAGGAGCATGGCAAAGGGAGAGAGTATGGTTATGCAAGTCTTCACAAAGAACTTGAACCATTTCTGTTGAGAAGAGTTAAAAAAGATGTAGAAAAGTCTTTACCTGCTAAAGTTGAGCAAATTCTGAGGATGGAAATGAGTGCATTGCAGAAGCAATATTATAAGTAAGTAACAACACTTCGTAAATTATGCTGTTTTAGTGATATGTCTACGTGCAATTTACTGGAGTATAATAGTTTATATAATGCAATTAGAACTTGGGCCTTCTAGGGTTTCACAACGCTACAGTTCTGTGAAGCAAGGCATCAAGAACTACGCTGATCTTGTCTATTCATGTAATTTCTTTTGTTAGGAATGCTCTTGCATTCTTTTGGGAGGTGCTTTTTTCTTTCAGCTTGTTTATATTTTGAGAACTTACATCTGTCTTGCTTCCACATATGGTTAGAAATTACTTGTATTGTACATCTTCTATCATAGGTGGATTTTAACCAGGAATTACAAAGCCCTCAGTAAAGGTTCAAAAGGCAGTACCTCAGGCTTTTTGAACATCATGATGGAACTCAAGAAGTGTTGTAACCATTGCTACCTCATTAAACCACCAGATGATAATGAATTCTATAATAAACAGGAGGCCTTACAGGTAATGTCACTTTTTAATAAAAAAAAAAAAGTTCTGTTTTACATCTGTGATATTCACACTATTTTATAGTGATTTGGCAGTTTATTAATTCTTATTGAAGTACATTAAGAAAAAACAGGTTCTCTGGAAAATGGGCATCCTGGGTTTTACAGGTAAGTGAATTGATATTTTGTTTCTTAATTGGAACTGAATAATGGGGCTTTGAGAGACCTGGTCTAGTGAGAGGTGTCCCTGCCCATGGCAAGGGATTAGAACTAGGTGATCTTTATGGTCTCTTCAACCCCAAACCATTCTATGATTCTGTGATTCTCTAACTGATTAAATAAAATATCCTTGATTTTAATTACAATCATAGTTAAAAAATAAATAGTTTGAAACAGGCTGTGTATTTTCATGCACAATAAACTTGAGACCTATTTTAAACCTAAGTAAAATAAAGCAGCTAGGCAGGCTAAAGGTAATGTGAGTGGAAACGCACGTGACTGGCAGTGATAAGTGCAATCTATGTGTTAGCAGAAAGTGATCTGCATAATGCTTTAAGCTTTTTTTCCTATAATCAAATGCTGTTCTTTGTGTGCCTGCAAAGAACCAAAGTGAAAGAAAGTGAAAGTAAGAATCATCCAAAGCTCAATCTGATTTTGCTATTGTTTTTGTAACAGAAGAAAACAGTTATCATCACTACCAAAGATGGTGTGGTATTCCTTCATTTTTTATTAAGTTTAACAAATATTTCTACCAAAACTGTTGAGAAGCCCAGCAACAGATAAGAGAACTATTGCTGTTGATGCAGTTTATACCGACATAAATGTTTCAAGAGTTGATTTTTCTGTAAGCATTCAAGTAGATAATTTAAAGACCTTCCTAAAGCTACTAGTTTCTACAGTGACAAATATCTTCCTCCTTTCTGGCATAAAGAATAAAAGCACCAAGCTCAAAAATTAGCATTCCCAAAATTCTGTCCCAAGCCTCTTCACCTGAAGAGGCCTAATGTTTTCAACATTAGATTTCACATTTGCTCAGGTTTCTCTCCTAGTTATTCCCAATGGAGCTGAGAAGGATTAACAGGCTTTTAGGTGGGTTACAGTGTTAAGTACCACAAACAGTATTTCTCTCACTTTATCTTTCCTGAGAAACTTGATTGATAGGCTTTGTTTAAAAAAAGGGTGAAGCAGCAGTACCTGTTTCTTTTTAAAAGATGGGAAGTAAAGCAAAGGTAGTACTGAAGTAATTTTTTCTTAATCTTCTGTTTTATTGGTTACCTATTTCTATTTTTTACTTGGCAGAAAAGAACTTGGGCCTACATCAAAACCTCTTGAATTTTTGAGACTACATATTGTATGCATGTTTTAAACTATAAAATTCTGAAGGAATGTCAGAATTTTCCTTTTCTTTATTCTTTCTGACGTTAATAGAAAGAAAAGCAAATCTCAAGTGAATGTCTAACTAACTGCAGTGTTTATAGTGTTGAGATGAGCTTAGTTTGTAATATGTATTTCTTGGTTTTTGTAGCATTTAATACGTAGCAGCGGGAAACTAATCCTTCTTGACAAGCTATTGATTCGTCTGCGAGAACGTGGCAACAGAGTTCTGATTTTCTCACAGATGGTGAGGATGCTGGACATCCTAGCAGAATATCTGAAGTATCGTCAGTTTCCCTTTCAGGTAAGAATCTTCGTGGTAGTAGCCAAGAAGCTTTGATCCTCAGGACAAGGGAAATATTTTCTTTGCTTTGCAAGTGAGAGAGCACTGGAACAAGCTGTCCAGAGGTTATGGAATCTCCATCCCCTGTGACATTCAAGGGCCACCTGCACCTGCCCTCAGGCAACCTGCTTTAGCTGTTCCCGCCTGAGTAGTTAAACGAGATGACCTCCAAAGGTCCCTTCCAACCTCAACTGTTTTGTCATTATGAGATCCTCACCACTTTGCTTAAGAAAAGATATATAAAAATGTCATCTTTTCTAGAAAGACTGGCAATTGCCATATGCTAAATAGTATTTTGAAATGAAACAGATAAATCAAAAAAAAATAATGTGAATTGTTGCATTACTTTTATGTACTTCCCATAGCAGTTTTGGCAGAGAATTCAAGTTGCTTTCATTTTGAATATAGTATAAGAATTACTCTTTAACTGTAATACTCAATCTCTTTAGAGACTTGATGGATCAATAAAAGGGGAGTTGAGGAAACAAGCACTGGATCATTTTAATGCAGAAGGATCAGAGGTATGCTATCTTTTTCCTAAGGAATCTGATTTTTTTTTTTTCCCAAGAAATTAAAAAAAAACCACACTGCATAGAAGCGAAGGCTGAGAAAAGTGAGGTTATCAGTAGGGTTGAAAATTCATTGTTATTGCCTATACTACAAGGTTTACATCTGTTTTGGTTTTTTTTCCTCTAAGAACCAGGTAAGTAGAAAACACATACCTTATGAATATGATATTTAATCCGTTATATAGCTATCAGGTTTTTTTCTAAAGCTCTTTATCAAAGTAATTTTAGTTACTATATAAATATTCAGCTTTGTTGCTATGTAGAACTGAATCCAGCAATGTTTACAAGAGCATTGAATTTACACAAGCAGTTAGCATCAAAAACATCCTCTGGCAGTGAGCGGAACTAATGTGTATATCCTTGCATGAACAACTGTCTTTAATTGTTTCAAATCTGTTCTCTGTTACCTTCATTTGTTACGCCTACTTGTTACTTGCCCTGGAAGAAATAGTGAAGAACTGATTTCTAGCCATTCTTTGTGAGCAACCCATGAATATATAGGTGTCTCTTACAGATTGCTTCTTTTCCAAGTTGGAAGATTTGTAGTTTCTTTAGCACTCATAATATGCAAGCCATTCCATACCCTTGATAAGCTTAAATCTCTTGTCCCACACTGGCGGGTTTAGAGGAGAAAGGGTTGGTTTGTTGGATTGTTTCAGTTTTTTTAAATGTCAGTAATTGAAGGATAGCATTTGTCAGTTGCTGCTGAGATTGTTTCTTCTATGATGGAGGGAGAAGGACTTAACTCCATAATGTAAACTTCAGATATTTGTTGAATAAAAAACTAAATTGTGTTTCAAATTTCTAGCATGGAGATTTTTGCCTTTTTTTGAAATCTTTGTGGTAACACTGTACATTTTTTGAGTTGAAGAGGTATTTAAACTTCATGCATTTCAAAAATGGAGGCAAAGTATGCATTTCTGCAGCAAAAAAAATTATCTCAGTTTTATTTTTTATTTGTTTCCTAAAAATTCAGAACATTCTGTATGGTTTTTGGCCATTACTGATCATTGGCTGTAGGCTCAAGCATCTTCCCCTCTGGCATGGCTGCTTAGTCTTCCAGGGCTTGGGGCAGGGGGCGTGGGAGAGGGACTTTTTAACTTATGAGGCTTCAACAGTATGGGTTTTGTACTTTTTTGGCCAGTCTTTTGTTTGGTTGGGATTTTTTAGTTAGTGGTCATCTTCCAGGATGCTGCTTCCATTAAACTGTTGAGAAGTCAGTAAGTATTTCTGAAAGAAACTGGTATCAATGTTTTCCTTACGCTTAAAGAAGTTTTGACTGTAGAACAGTTACAGAATTGGTAGTATATGATTTTGTAGTCTGCGCCACAGGCTGCATGAACAAGTGTCATATTATATGTGTTTCATTATTTTATGATTTCAGGACTTCTGCTTTTTACTGTCTACCAGAGCTGGCGGGTTAGGTATCAACTTGGCATCTGCTGACACAGTAGTTATATTTGACTCTGACTGGAATCCACAGAATGATCTGCAAGCACAGGCTAGAGCGCATAGAATTGGACAGAAGAAACAGGTACGTGCATTCAGCTTTAAGCTCCAAACCTGAGGAGAGGTTCCGTACAGTAGCTGTCCACTGTCTGCACCATTCAGTCTTCATGTGTTTTTGAGAATAGCTAATACTTGCTGCCTATGCACAAAAATGTTAGTAAAGCTCATTTAACCTTCTCTGTTTTTTCACATCTCCCTATATGGAGGTGTGGTATGCGGATGGGAGAAGGAGAAGAGTTACGGGCTTGTCTTTCCCACATTTGTTGGCATCATGTCATTCATGAAAATAACTGCTGCACCAGGCACATCTGTCTTGCTTAAACATTTCTTAATTTTCTTCAACTTTCTTTCTAGCAGAAGACATACAGTAATAATAGGAAATGTGGCAGTTTTGCCTGTGGCAATGATTGTACCAAATCACTGAATTTTAAAAAAGACAGGTGTAAGAGTTTATTTCACTGTGTTCTTTATTTAAATGCTGAAGTAAAGACTGTGGTAGCATGATTGAACTAGTATTTCATATTGGAAAACAGTCAATAAATTCAGAAGATACGTAGTGAAGACTGAGATTTCTCCATGTTGTTTACTTTTTAAAAAATATTTATAGGTTAATATTTATCGACTAGTCACGAAAGGATCAGTAGAAGAAGATATTCTTGAAAGAGCGAAGAAAAAGATGGTGTTAGATCACTTAGTAATTCAGAGAATGGACACTACAGGGAAAACCATACTACACACAGGCTCTACTCCTTCAAGGTATATTTGAATTTATTTCCATACTAATTTTCCCTTAAGTATATTTGATAAGTAAGTGAAAACATAAGTTATTTCCCTTGGTTAATGGAAGGCAAAATAAGATTAAATAAGTAAAGATACAAAGTATATTGTCTTTGTAGATTTTAAATAATAAAGCTTAATTGACTCATTATTAGAGAGAACTTTTTCACGTTGCTAAGACAAAATATTTTTCCTGAAACATCCTTTATTTCAGCTCAACACCTTTTAATAAGGAGGAGTTATCAGCGATTTTGAAGTTTGGTGCTGAGGAACTTTTTAAAGAACCTGAAGGGGAAGAACAGGAGCCTCAGGTAAGTAGTATTTCTCATCTAGATAAATAAAACAACCAAAAGCATGTATACAATTTCATTGTAAAAAGAAACTACTTTTCTTTTTTAGGAAATGGATATAGATGAAATCTTGAAGAGGGCAGAAACTCGGGAAAATGAGCCAGGTCCATTAACTGTAGGAGATGAGTTGCTTTCACAGTTTAAGGTACTGCTCAGTCCCCTCCCTCATGCCATAATTACATTTTCCTTTTTAAATGGCACTATATTTCATTTGTGTACCTATCAGTCTCTTCATTCTTATGAAATACATGTCATAGTAAGCCAACTCCGTATCTCTTTTTACTAAAATGCATTTTGACCTATGCCAAATACCTACCATCAGTATAAACATTGGAAAATACATGATGTATTTTGCTAATAAAAGAAGAAATATTTATTAATGTATTAATGATTAGAATTCTAGGTAGTCTTGTGTTTTAAATGCCGCCTTTGTTGTTTAACAGCTGCAGTACTGTTGAACTCAAAATAGAAAGCTTGCATTTCTTAGTTGATGACTTCTAGAAATGGCTTTTATCCTTAACGTAGACTTGAATGCAAAATGTTATCAGTTAAACATATTAGAATTTGGGTGCAGAAAAAAAATGCAGAACATGATGTATTTGTTTAGACCAGCAGATTCTTAAATAGCTCTCCTGCTGATTGTTCATCTGCAATGTATTTTGTTTTCTACAGTGTATTAATGTGTTTTAGTTACTTTTACCATAGCTTCACATTAACTGGGGCAATCAAATGTTGTCAGCCTTTTTTTGAAGGAAGTCAAATAACAATTATACAGCTATTGGGGAGATATTTCATTATGCATCTGTATTAGTCAACTTTTAAAAGAAAAAAAACATTCTCATCTTTTCTCATCTTAGCCCATGTTGTATGGAGTCTGTCTGTTTCATAAATGAATACAATACTTTAATTAGGGACAGTTTCTCAAGAAGCACTTTGTGTGAATAAATTTTTTATATATTATAAAACAATAGCATATATAAAAATACATAAAATATATACATGCCTAAAATATGCCATCAAGAAATTTGTTTTCCTACAATATATTAGTTGCTCTTTTTTTTTCCAAATAAAGTCATGTATTGATTTGATGAAAATACTTATATCCTGATAAACAAGGTGGCCAACTTTTCCAATATGGATGAAGATGATATTGAGTTGGAACCAGAAAGAAATTCAAGAAATTGGGAAGAAATCATTCCAGAAGTCCAGCGACGAAGAATAGAAGAGGAGGAAAGACAAAAAGAACTTGAAGAAATATATATGCTTCCAAGGATGAGAAACTGTGCAAAACAGGTATCTCTTGATTCTGACTGACTTTTATGTTGCTGTTGGTTTACTTTGCTGTTGGGAGATGTTATGTTTTGGGTTTGAGGTTGGTTTTTCCCTTTTCTGAACACGTTTTTGACAGGCTAGGTAAAACTTTTAATGTTCATTAATCACATAGCTTGGAACTATTTATTCTGAAATTCCAGATCAGTTTTAATGGAAGTGAAGGGAGGCGCAGTAGGAGCAGAAGATATTCTGGATCTGATAGTGACTCCATCTCAGAAAGAAAACGGCCGAAAAAACGTGGAAGGCCACGAACTATTCCTCGAGAAAATATTAAAGGATTTAGTGATGCAGAGATCAGGCGGTAAGATATGGGGGGACATGCACGTTTAAAAGGACAAGACAATTTTCATTGACAGTACAGAAGTCAGTATGTTTTGCCTGAATTTTTTGAATCTTTTTTTTTTTTTATTATTATAGCATTTAATGTTTTCCCTTGTGTTACCTTGTGGTTCTGACGTAGTGAACTGTCATGGCAAGAATACATTGAATACATTTTAGTGAGGGCTAAAATTAAGTTTGAAAAATATCCTTGACTGTTTTAAATTTGTTAATTCCCTGCAACCCATGAGGACAGTGATTTCAAAAACCACATGTTACAATGAGCTTTTCTTTTGATACGCAAGTGAAATAATGGGCTTCCATTTTATCTAAATACTGCAGTGCTGAAAGAATGCATAAAACATTTTTAGTGACAACTACAAAAATTTGACTGGATTTTGTTTTCTTTTTAAACTTCTTGACATGGTTATTGAATTAATGTTAATGTGATGCTTCTTTAAATTAAAAAAAAATATCTATTTGAATCTTGTACAGCAGGTGCTTTCAATATTTGGTGCTAAAATAGTTTTTTGGTACAGGAAGAAGGAATTTTTCTGAAATGCTAGTTTGCTTCTGAAATTCAAGTATGCACGTTTGTCTAAATGCTGTAAAGCTTTCAAAATATTTTTGGTCAGAGAAGTGACTTTAAAGAATTTTGTGCCTTTCCATTTCATCTAACAACACAGCGAATTGGTGTTTTTTTCAAGGCTGTTCTTGTGCTTGCACTAGCAATTTGAGGCCTTGATTGTTCAGGAAACTTTCTTTTTTAAATTTATTTTTCTTTATTTTATTTTTATTTCATTTCCTTTCTATCGCAGGCATCTCATTTCTTTCAAGCACTTACACATTCCTACAGAGAATATCTTTAATGTCATATTTTCAATTTCTTCAAATCACCTGTTGCAGGTGGCTCCTTTACTATGTTAGGCATAATGTCTGTAAATCTGCATTAAATTTTTATGGTTAGACACATCCAGCTGCTGAATCTTCTGTCTTGTGAAATTAATAAAGCATTTTCTGAAATAAATTGTACCTTCTATTGTTTTATTTACATCAGTTTTTAAGCCAATAAAACTCTGACTTTGGGTTATCTGGGTGTACTAACCTGCCCTACTCTCTCTACTTGTTGGTTTTTCTTCTGTTGTCCGTTTGTCACTATACCAAGATTAATAGTTGTATTAATACAATTTTAAAACCAGTGAAGTTAGTTAAGCATGTATTTAAGTGGCAAATTTTTTTTCTTTTACTAGGTTTATCAAGAGTTACAAGAAATTTGGTGGCCCTCTTGAAAGGTAAATTTGTTTGATTATTATTTGTGTGGCAACTGGGAACCTTGTTTTCATAAAAATTAAGAACAATATACCAAGAAACATTAGTCTAAAGAGAAAACACAGAGTCTAGTCTTCTGCCTCCAATATAGCACGACTAGCTTAATGTCTTCCCTTTCTTCATATGGTATGTGTGCAAACAGCCACACAACAAACCTTTCAATTTGCAGGACTTACTCTTTCTCTGTATACTTTACCTACTGCCTTGTTTAATCTTTGTTGGTGGTAATCATTCAGTTGTCTTGTTTGACACCCTGTTGAAAGCCTATCGGTTTACCCACTGTGACTGTCAAACTTAGTTTTGCATTTTCCTTATTGTCATTTTTTATTATTAAGCTTTTTTTATTATTCCATATTTTAAGAAAAACTTGCCGTTCTTATTTTCCTTATAAATATTTGTAGTCCAATGGACATATGATACAGAATGATTCCTTTTCTTTTTTTAAAGAAATGTACAGTAATTTAACTCAACGATGTAGGGTTAGGGTCCTTTACAGTTTTTGGTCCTCTGATACCTGAATCACTTATTTTTCTTTCTTGGATCACAGCATAGCAAGTGCAGATGACTGATATGATGATTTCTCTAGTTTCAAAGTCTGAAGGAGTCATTCACAACTACTCAAGTTTCAGAGCTATAAAAACCTGTATTTTTTTATTACAGGTTAGATGCTGTAGCTAGAGATGCTGAGCTAGTTGATAAATCAGAGACGGATCTTAGACGTTTGGGAGAGCTTGTACATAACGGATGCATTAAAGCTTTAAAGGACAATTCATCTGGACAAGAAAGAGCAGGTAAAATATGTTCAAGGGACTTAGGGGCAATAAAAAATGTCAAAAAGTCTGAATTATTGTTGCACTCTGATCCTAACAGAAAACAGTTCTATTGGGGGAAAATATAAACATATGCTGACACGCTGGGTGATTTTTAAAAACGCATTGTAGGAAGATTACTTAGTTTTCCCCTTTCTGTGTGTGAATTCTCACTGGAGAATGCAGTATGTTTTTGCTTTATTATCTTATTATTTGCTGTTATTATCTGGAAGACCCTTTTATTCCAGAGCTAAACTTAAGCATTTAGTTAAGAAAATGTCATTTGGTATTTGACAGTTTGCTGCTATAGCATCAGTCTTATTTGTTTTCTTTACTTTTTTCTGCGTGATATTCCTAAAGGTAGATATTTTAATACCTTTGTCATTTATTTCAAGGAGGTAGACTTGGGAAAGTTAAAGGGCCAACATTCCGAATCTCAGGAGTGCAGGTGAATGCAAAGCTAGTTATCTCTCATGAAGAAGAGTTGGCACCGTTGCACAAATCCATTCCTTCAGATCCAGAAGAAAGAAAAAGGTATTGATTTTGGTTTGTTTTTTTTTAAAAAAGGAAGTAGTAACTTAGAAAAAATTTCAAGTTTTACTGGGTTTTTTCAGACAATATTGACTCAAAGCACACTGTGACAGCATTGTCTCTCAATTCCCTATAAGGACAGCAGCAATAACCTGCTCTACATCTGTTTTTCATTTGTTCTTTCCATGTTGTAGAAGCCAGTACTAGTTTTGGCTTCTCAGTTGTATTCACTGAGGACTCTATTCAGTTACAAATAATAATCAGGACTAGAATTCATGGTTGCTGAGGAGCTGCTTTATGTGTCATCTCTGTCTGAGGGGAAAGCATTATCTGTCAAAGTGCAGCAGTAGTTATTTCTGCATTCTGAACTTTTTCCCTTGCCACCTTGTCTATCACAATCCCTAAATTGTCCACTTGGTTAGCAGTTACATTTGGATGATGATTTATGCTGTTATTCATGGTTAGCCCGCTCTGTGATGCAGCTTATGGCCACGGACAGGTGTGTGTTCTTCATATTTTAGTCTTAATCTGCTTTAAAATACCTTTCAGTGTGGCTTTCAATACATGTTTTATATAAATGTTAAGAATACATAATAAATACTTGAATTAATTTATGAAGTATACCAGCATCTTAGCAGGGAAAATAAATCTAGTTACATCACTTTTAATATGCTCCTTCTGCCTTGCTAAGCTTCGGAAGTAAAAATCCTTTATTTGTCTTTCTAATTTGTTTCTGCTAGATATGTCATCCCATGCCACACCAAGGCTGCTCATTTTGATATAGATTGGGGTAAGGAAGATGATTCCAATCTGTTAATAGGCATCTATGAATATGGTTATGGCAGCTGGGAAATGATAAAAATGGATCCTGATCTCAGTTTGACACAGAAGGTATGTCATCTACAGCATTTCATGAAGGACTGTCTTTGTTTAGGTGATAATGCTACTAAGAACAGGTACTGAAAGAGCTCATTTTATGAAAACTGGAATTTGCAGGGACATTATACATCAGTTATACTTCTTAGTATCGTTCTTATGCTATATTATTAGATTTTACGGTCTTGTGTATTCAGTTGAAATATGCGTTCTTGCAGTCAATTTTGTTGCTGCATTTCCACGTAGTTGGACATCTGTGATTTGAATTTCAGTATTTTGCTTCTCAATTTGAGATTTTCTAGTTTTGTCTGTTTTGTGTTCTTGAACTTTTGGAAGGGAGATTTTTCTAGAGGTTTGATTAGGTTTCCCCATCCTCACTAATGCCCAGGTTCTTCACTTGAAGCTGTCTTTCACTCAGAACATGAGAATAGCTGTACTAGAATTAGTGCAGTAGCTCCTTAGCATTAGTGAGCAACAGGTATTAAGGGAAACACCGGGGTGAAGTAAATTTTGTGACAGTTCCAACAACTTACAGCTTTGGCATTTGAGGAGCAAAGGTTGTGTCCAGTTCATTCAACGGTGACTCCTACTCCTGCCTTCCATTAATTTGCTGGTTTCTTGGAACCACCCATTTATAATTTTTGGCTTCTACAATACACTGTAGAGAGTTCTGCATTTAAAAGATAAATGAGACAGAACTAGGAGTTGTGTGCCAGAATTTCTTAAAGTATCAGAGTGGAAACAAAAATCTGAGGCTGATTTCTTGAGTTTGTTTCAAACTGTGAGGAAATTTCCAATTGGCTGCAAGATTAGAGAGAAGTGAAAACATTTAAGAAATTCTCCATTGCTTCAAGCATGCTGGCATACTTGCTAGGTACAGTTGAAATTGATTGTTTTCCATTTTCTTTTACGCAGCTGTTTGTTCTGTGTACTCCAGGCTACCATCTTCCAAACTTCTTAATATGTACTTATAACTGTGATACTACCGTTTTTCTCCTCAGATTTTGCCTGATGATCCAGATAAGAAACCCCAGGCAAAGCAGTTACAGACTCGTGCAGACTACCTCATTAAATTACTGAATAAAGACCTTGCAAGGAAGGAAGCACAGAGGCTTGCTGGGGCAGTAAGTAAAATTTTGCATTCGTTAGTGAGATAAAACAATACACTTACAGGCATGGTAGCTGATCCTTTTCTTGTTTGTACTCAGTTCTACTCTTCTTCATTGTGTAGCATTGCTATGTGTTGCTAATCGTATTACAGAAGACTAACTCAATGCGAGTTTCATATTGTACTATTTTCTCATTCTTTGTATATATACTCTGTGTCTCCAGCCCTGAGAAAAGTGGTGGCCATTTGTAAATAGAATAAAATGAACCCTTTATTTGATGTGAAAGCAAATCTTTTTTGCAACTGTTGTGCAAAGATGCTTGTCCATTGACATATTAAAGAGACCAATTTGCATTCAGGGCAATTCAAAGCGGAGGAAAACAAGAACTAAGAAGAATAAGGTGATAAAGGCTGCAAAAATAAAAGAAGAAATAAAAAGTGATTCTTCACCACAACCCTCGGAAAAATCTGATGAAGAGGATGATGAGGATAATAAGGTAAGTACCTTTCATATGATAAAGATGGCTATTCAGTTATTTCTATTAGTATCGATTTCTATTTTATCTTCTCTTGGCTTAGTAAAATTGAAGCACCTGAACATCATCCTTTCCTGTGGGCACTACAGTTGATGTTGCATCAGTACAAGCACATGGAAGACTGTGTCTGTTTTAATTTAATGAGAAGCCAGTAGCTGAGGAATTACAAGTAGTTTTCCAAATTATATTACAAAAAAATGTTGTTTTAATTACAAGTGGCATTGCTCAGTTTTAGCATTCTTTAAAGACTTCAGCATTGTAAATGAATGAAAAGAAATGCAAACCTAATGTAACACACAATTATAAAACTAATGTTTCTGGCTAATGTGTTATAACTACTGACAGACATTATTCAGGTAAAGTTTTTTTATTCAGGAAAAAACATCAAGGTCAGCTTGAATAAATGATACTTCCAGACTTGCATGGGAAATCTCGTGTATAAGTCATGGCTTTTATAATCCAAAACTAACCAACTATTTAACCTTGTTGTGTTCCATTACTTCTGATATGTTCATTTAGGCCTCTGCCTTTGTTGGGTCTTTTAATTTCTAACGCTTACACAGCAGAAACCACTACAGATAAAAATTTAGGTAAAAAAAATAGGTAATTTTTTTTAAAAAAATTTGAAAGTAGTTTAAATAAATCAGTGCAAATCTATATGAATCACTAAAATACTTTCTACTTGGTTTAAAATAAACTAAATTGAAGTGTCTTGCATAATGACTTTAAACTAGTAAAAACCATTGTAATTGTCAGCTGACTCTTGAGGAGTTTTCACTATACACAGTTAAAACTGAGTCAGCCTTAGAAGAACCATGATACATCTATAAAAAGTAATAATTCTTAACTAAAGCATTCCTGTATATATTTATATTGTACTATGAGGAATAAAACGTAAAGCCCGAAAAAAATTTTAAAAATTTGAATGTAGACTGGCTTATGTTTATAGATACAAAACAGGAGACACTGCCAGTCAGTTCATTGACTTGTTATGTTTTGGGAAAGAGCCTAGAATGCTGTCCCTTTTTGTATATTTAATAACAGTTATTCATCACTTTAATACTTTTGGACACAGACTGACAATTGCACTTCTGAAACCTGGACCATACACAAGGAGGGGCTTTAACCACCTGAGTGGCTTTAGCTACTTAGCTGCCATACTATGTACAATATTTAAAACTTACCTGTTTAACTTTTAAAACATTCAGGAAACTCCTTGAAGTCATTGGATTTTTGCTGAGAAGTTTCCACGATACCTAAATACTGAAGTCCTGGTTGGACTGATGACTCAATACCTCATCTAAGTAACTTGTATCACGCATTCTTTCATCTGTTTTTCTGCAGTGGATTCTATATATGCCTTCTTTGGGTGTATTGAGTTAAATTCAAGATTACAGTAATTCTTGCACCTGTACATAATACTTTACATATTGTAGTACTTTTCTGTGTCTGAAAGAATTTGAGTTTCCATCTCTAGCTTTACAAGTGAACATCGTAAAGAGCAGTGGAGGGTGGTATTTTTTTTTACCTTCAACTAATTAAATGGGTGCCTATCAGACAACTGTAACCAAGACTTTTTTTTAAGCCTAGTAAAAAAGAACACCTCTGGAAAAAAAGAAGTTGGGACTCTGTTACCTTCTCCTGTGAATGTTTAAAATTGGATTGGTAAAAATTTACTTGGACAAAGCTAACTAGAAAGAGGTCTTCTAACATCTCCTTCATTTGAGTGTCCTGACCAATCAGCTCAGTTTTGCAAGACTATTTCTTTAAAGTTTTTAGCTTTTCAGAGCCTAATTACCTTTTAAAGGAATAGAATTCTATGTTAATTCTAAGTTAAATGGACATAATTTCTCACCCCCCAACTACCACTGCCAAATCAAGTACTTGCTTTGTCACATCAAGGAAGTGAGTAGTTCTCATCTTTCTTTACAACTGCCTTCAGTTCTATATAATAGCTGTTAAATCTTTGTCCAAAAAGAAAAAAATGCACAGATAAAAAGTATGTTTTAATCTGTAGTTACGAAACTTGCATAGATAGGCACTCAGTCTGATGTGACGTATATGCTTGCGTATTGCAGGATGAGATTGTTTCAGTGAAACAACCACATAAAAAAATTAAAGCAGAAAAAGAAAATGAAGAAAAGCCTGAGCCAGATATTGGTATAAAGAAGGAAGCTGAAGAAAAAAGAGAGACAAAAGAAAAGGAAAATAAGAGGGATTTGAAAAGGGAGAAAAAAGAAAAAGAGGATAAGAAAGAATTAAAAGAAAAAGATATTAAAGAAAAGAGAGAAAACAAAGTTAAAGAATCCACACAGAAAGAAAAAGAAGTAAAGGAAGAGAAGGTAACTAGGTTTACTTATCTTATATAGCACTAGAAAAGGCTACTAGGTTTACATGAATGATTTTGAGATGAAAAGGTATTTTGGATCTAATCAGTTGTCATTTCATTGAAGTCTTTTACATCATTTGCAGTTTTATTTCTACTACCAGAAACCATGAGGTCAAGCATTTGCAATGGGGAATTACATCTTCAATGATATGTATCTTAGCTGGAATGAGAGTACAAGTTTAAAATGCTTTTATTCCTTTTCCATTCTTCTTTTCCATTCCACAGAAGAAGTAAAATACACTGTCTTGAATATCAGCATATTTTTTTATTATTACTGAAGAGAATGTAGTAGTTACGGGGATTGTCATATATTATCAGACAATTCCAGAGCCAAAATAAATTTACTTAAAAATTTTGTATCTTCTTCTTAGGTAAATGAAATCAAATCTGAAAATAAAGAAAAAACTAAAAAAATTCCATTGTTGGATACTCCAGTTCATATTACTGCAACTAGTGAACCTGTTCCTATATTGGAAGAATCTGAAGAACTGGATCAGAAAACTTTTAGTGTGGTAAGTCCCTTTTTGATAAGTTAGTGTTTGTACTTGATAGTCTAAATGAGGATAGTTTCTGATGTTCTTAATTCTGTTATTGGGCACAGAAACACTGGTGATCTTTTGCTAGTAAAGTTTCAGATCAAGGAATGTTACTGACACTGTACTAAGGTAATTTTTGTCTTTGTTCCAGTAGTTTTATTTTGTTGTTTACTGTATTTATGCAGGATAGCAGGAAAACTTAAGCAGTAGTCTGTGTGCTGAATAGAATTAATATATAGACTGCAAAGATACATTCTCAAGAATAACTTGTGTATCCTGCTTCTTAAAGAGCAAACATGAATGAACTTCAGTGCAATTGCTGGAGTCTGTGGCTTTACTTTATCATTACTTACTTTTTGTAAGATAACAAATGAAGTTTCAGCACTTCCCTCCTGAAGTATTGCAGACTTAATTAGTAGACAAGGGAAGGAACAAATGCTAAAGCCCTTAGAAATACCTTGCTGGAGTACTGCCTTTTGACACCAGAAGAATTTTGTTTAATCACTGCTTCTTAAGAACAGAATCAATATTAGAGGAAAAAAACACACAAAGTTGGCTGGGGCCTTTGGAAAGGAATCAAGGAAATTACTCAAGTGCTCTCCTGTGAGTGTTTCGTCATTCAGATTTCAACAGTTGTTTGTTTCTGCCAGCCAAGTTTGTTGGGGCTGTTGTGGGTGCTGGCTGCAACGTGCAAGTAAGATTCTCTTAAGTATGGCAGTGACTGGTCTATGTATGGTTTTATTCTAAACATTCCAAGTACCTTACCTGTGATTTCCAGGATGAGCTTCAAGTGATTCAGGTAGATGTGTTTGTGTGGCTGAGTGACAGAAAATCACTTCATTTCATTTACAGTTTTATTTTTCTGATTACTTCTACGTTAATTAGTGCACTTTCTAAGCTGTTTTTAAAGGCTACCTTCAGCTGTGGCTAGTGTAATGTGTAATATAGCTGCTTAATTACTTAGTGGACTGAGCTGGCAATGCATCATCTTCCCTGATTTTTGAGTTGTCCCTAGATGCTTACATGGTAGTGGCACTCCGTTCCAAACATTTACCTCCTTTAATTTTTACTGAGACTCTAATTCTAGGTTGGGTTTGTGTATAGAATTTTTTTTTTTTTTTTGGCCAGGTTTTTTGTTCTGGAATGTATGTTTATCTTATGCCATGATCAGATGCAGTCTAATTAGCATATATAACTACATTTGCAAATGGAAACTGCTACTCTGGGTTGTTCAGGCTTAACTAATTTGGCTCTTTATGATAAGGAAAGTATGTATTTAGTCTTTTTACCATGCCATTGTAGTTAAATGGTATTCCCAAGCAAGTGTCTGTAATTTAAATCATGCTACCTGGCTTTGTCTGGATTTATTATTAAAACATTTGACTCAAAGTGTGAAAAGTCAAGAATGCATATATGACATATGTTTGTTTTGCTGTTGCTGTTGTTACTAATCGAGGCATACCCAAACTCTAGGTACCACAAGTTCCACTACTATCTGCAAGGACTAAAGTTTAAAAACTCCTCAGAGAAGCAGTGTTAATCTTCTGCTGAATGCCACATTTAACTGTTGCAGAAAGTATCTTCTTGAAATGTACTGAACACTCTCATATATAATTTTGGCATTGAGTTTGTATAGCTTTCAAGGTGCTAAAAAGTATGTCTTGTCCCCTAAACTTGTGCTGAAAGTTGTAACTAATCGTAAACCCGAGTTGTAATGAGTCCTTTTCTTCAGAAAATCCCTTCTATTAAGCTAGTGCTTCCTTAAATCCCTGATATCAGTATTTTATACAATCTAATGTCTTCATAAAGGAGTAGATTTCCAACTGAGTTTAAAATACAACTTTTTTTCCAAAAGAAACCTGTAAAACATTTTTAAACATTTTTAAAAGCTGTGAGAAAGTCCTGTGCTTCATTTGGCTTGTAACAATACTGTCTTTGCCTGTATATATATATTACAGTAAAGGGTGGGTCATGTCTTAGAATACTTATTTTTTCTTTTTTTATTTGAATTCATAACTACTTTTTTTTTTTTTCCATTTTGCAGTGCAAAGAAAGAATGAGGCCTGTCAAAGCAGCATTAAAACAGCTGGACCGACCAGAGAAGGGACTTTCTGAAAGAGAGCAGCTGGAACACACTAGACAGTGTCTAATCAAAATTGGGGATCACATTACTGAATGTCTAAAGGAGTACACAAATCCTGAACAAATAAAACAGTGGAGAAAGTAAGTTATTCTCTTCCTTTTTTCTTGAAAAACAAAAATCTATAATTGCTTCAATTAAGCAGAATCGTTTTTAATTATTTAACTTGTTTCTTGCTCTCCCTTTCTTGTATCTTTCTGCTGTTTCAAATAGGAATCTATAACAACATGATTGTAGATTGTTCTTTCAAGGGATTAACTTTTTCATACTGCATAGCAATGCTTTTTGTCCAGCAGGTGGAGTCATCTCAGTTCTTACAACAGAAAGCAAACACTGGGTAACTTTTTATTTAGACTGGGTTTAGTGGAAAAGAATTCTTACCTTTAAGGATCTGGTTTTTTTCAACTTTGAGGTGTTGGAGTTTTTTTTATTTCATGTTAAAAATAGCAATTCTAAATTTGTGATGACTTTTGTATGATTTTGAGTTGCAGAGTTCTTTATTCTTTTTAAAATATACTCTAAAATTAAATTACATATGACATATTAGCTATGACTTGATAAATGTATTTACCATAATGTACTCAGATGTACATTATGTACATACAGATGTATTTCAAATACATCAATACATTCAAGTACATACAGATGTATTTCAAAAATGAAAGAAGAGTGCATCCTTGTGAGGTCACAATTTAAAAAAATTAAAAATGTTGGTTTGGAAACTTCTTATATTTCATTGTTAAAGTCTTAATGCAGTTTGAGTTACTTTTATTGGAATGTGCATTTTAATCTTTTATGGTTGAGAATACATCCTGCACTTCCATATATAGAAGTGCTTCGTTTTCTTGTAGATTTCTATTAGTGGAGAATGCTTCTGATGTTTTTACTTGCTTTACTTCAGAATAGTAAGGTGATCTAAGATACATTTTGGTAAATGTTGTATTTCTTTAAGTGGAAACTTGTAAGACACAGATCTTGGCATTGTAATACAGCTGCTGTTCATAATCTATAGTATTATATGTAGATTAATAAAACACATATTTTAGTTAAGTGACTTAGCTTATGTAAAGTTATAGAGGTGTCATTAGGCACACCATTGACTGATTTGCTACTTTTGCAAACCTTTAGACCAAAATTACAGTGTTTAAATAATCACAGTGAATAAGCAGACTGGTGCTTTCTGAGCCTACACACTTCAGATACTTCTGAACTCTAGTATTCTGTAATCTCTTAAGCATTCCGCCTGTAAATTTGATAAAAAGAATTCCAGATCTCTGATCTCTTACCTGTGATAGTAGAAGCAATTTCTTTTTTCAGGGTTTTGGCATCTAGATGGGCATCTAGATGCCAAAAGACTTGATTTGTTCCCTCATTCCTTTGAGCACAGATTAGACAGAAACTTACTGCCATGTCACTTCCATCCTCTTTCCCAGTTCTCATTTTATTTCAAAATCTTCTACCAGGCTTTGGAATTCTTTGGAAAAATTGTCTCACTGATATTTTCATGAATTAAGGCTCGTAGGTCGAAGGTCTTACACTGTAAGAGATTTCAAATAATTTTTACTTACTTTACTTACTTAAATTATTATTTGCTGAGTGGTAATTACTCAAAATTCAAACAAACTTTCAGAAGACATACATAAACTGATAGCACATTCTTAAGCAGCGTCACAAATCATTATGTTAACATAATTGTTATTAGTACTACTTTACATGCACTTTGAATGCTGAAGTACTTAAAAGTATTACAAAATGACAAATTGTTAAAGGAATTAATCTTTCCAGTGTTTGAAATACAGCTAGGTGATGTTTGCTGTGCAGCTAGGCAATACTGTGTAATTCTTACAGTGTTTCTGGTTTACTGAAGTACTATTCAAATAATTTCAGTTAAATCCATGTTCTGTTGCATAATACAAGAAAAAAATGTATAGAAGAAATATGACTTCTCTTTTCTTCTTCCTCAGAAACTTGTGGATTTTTGTCTCTAAGTTTACAGAATTTGATGCCAGAAAGCTGCACAAACTGTATAAACATGCAATCAAAAAACGCCAAGAGTCTCAGGTAGTATTTTCAGATCCTTTCTAAATATACACACACACACGTGGGTGTATATATATGTTATAAGTATTGTAACTCTTTTATTAAAGTATTATAAGGAACACAGAAATACACTTCAAGTAGCATTTGTTTTGGTAGTAGTCTCTTTTGTTAGAATATTTTTCTAATTAATTCAGATGAATTTAGCAATGAGTTTTTGTACTTGTCTCTTTTAGCAACAAAATGACCAGAATATTAGCAGCAATGTGAATACACATGTAATTAGAAATCCAGGTAAGCAACCTTAAGTATATTCTTGTTAGATATCTTAGTTTTCGTGTTTATTTCATTTCACATCTCCTACATCTGTGTCCCATACTGCTGTGTATCACAGAGATGGGCTGATTAGCAAAAGTTCTAGTTTGCTAATGAAATCCAGCTGAGTGTAGACAGAGTATGGTACTTGCTGGCTTTAGTAGCAAGTTAATTCACCATCCTTCACAAAAATCTTGGAAATATTTTTTGTATTTAATTTTGGGTATGAAGAGAGGTCTACACAAAACCTGTAAAATGATGGAAAATTCCGTGCTTGTTTATAGCTGTTTTACTGTCATTACTGTTACGAAGGCAAGTTACTCCTTGAAGTCATAGTTTATAATCAGTTACATGGGCTGTCTTTTATTGTTGACAATAACACCGATTTTTCTATGCTGCCACACCTGCTTCTTGTAATACTTGCTTTTATCTTGTGTTATGCAACACTTAGAGTATATTTTCTTGGACTTAAAGTCAGCATAATGTATTTTAGGAATACTAGTGAAAGTCTTTCATTAACAAGGTGTACCTTGAAAACTTACTCATGCTAAGACCATCCCTTCTTAGAGAGAAAGCTGCTACCATTCTGTCTAAAATTGCTGTACTAAAGGCACATGTGCTTACTTATCATTTGGACCACACTTAGTTCATAGACTGAATGGAAAAGTTGAAAAGTTCAGTTTCCAAGTCTACATTCTAGCTTGATTCCCTCTTACTTCTCAGATTTCTTTCACTTCACTCGCATTAGTGCATTTGTCTTTCAACTCTTCAGGTCTTGTTTCTGTGAAATTTTAAGTTGCTTTCGTACGGCTTTACGTCTGACAGAAGTGCTGTTTGAATTGGGTGAAGAAATGACTTTATGAGACTCCCTTTTAACCTCTGTTTTATTAAATAGATGTGGAAAGGCTGAAGGAGAATACAAACCATGATGACAGTAGCAGGGACAGTTATTCTTCTGATAGACATTTGTCACAATACCATGATCATCATAAAGACAGGCATCAGGGAGATGCTTACAAGAAAAGTGACTCTAGGAAACGGCCCTATTCAGCCTTCAGTAATGGAAAAGATCACAGAGATTGGGATCACTACAAGCAAGACAGCAGGTGAGTGTCTTCAGTAATTTTAAAAATCCATTCAGAATTCCCCTTCTGTTTTTCTAAGTATGCTTGTAGCAAGCACCAAAATACCTTTTTCAAGTAATGCAAAATTGCAACTAGTGTGTCTTTCCATTACAGTTCTGTTGTTTTTATAGAACCATAGAATGGTTTAGGCTTGGAAGGTACCTCAAAGATCACCTAGTTCCAACACCCTGCCATGGGCAGGGACATCTCCCACTAGAGCAGGTTGCTCAAAGCCCCATCCAGCCTGGCCTTGAACACTTCCAGGCATGGGGCATCCATGACTGATCTGGGCAACCTGTTCCAGTGTCTCACCACCCTCACAGCAAATAACTATTCTGATATCCCATCTAAATCTATTCTTCTCCAGTTTGAAGCCATTATCCCTCCTCCTATCTCTACATGTCCTTTTAAAAAGTCCCTCTTCAGGTTTCTTGTAGGACCCCTTGACATACTAAAAAGCTGCTATAAGGTCTCCCCAGAGCCTTCTGTTTTCCAGGCTGAACAACCCCATCTCTCTCAGCCTGTCTTCATAGGAGAGTTGCTCCAGCCCTCTGATCATCTTCGTAGCCTTCCTCTGGACCTGCTTTTGACATAATTAAGAGCCGCAATGTGCGTTCACTAACACTAATACAAATAATATCTATTTTTTAGATACTACAGTGACAGTAAACATAGAAAGTTAGATGACTACAGGAGCAGAGACCACAGGTCAAACCTGGAAGGAAGCTTAAAAGACAGCCGGGCTCATTCAGATCACCGTTCCCATTCAGACCACAGGATACATTCAGATCATCGTTCCACTTCAGAGTACAGCCATCATAAATCTTCTAGGGATTATAGGTACCACTCAGACTGGCAAATGGACCACAGAGCTTCGGGTAGTGGCCCAAGGTCACCATTAGATCAGAGGTCTCCTTATGGTTCAAGATCTCCCCTAGGACACAGATCTCCATTTGAACACTCATCAGATCACAAAAGTACACCTGAACATACATGGAGTAGCCGGAAAACATAACAAAGACTGACATTTTCTGGACCTTCTTTTAGCCATATACAGTAAACTAACACAGTAATTGCCTTACATGACTTGAAAGATACAGACTGGATATTCTATCAGTAGCAGTATTGTTACTTCTTTCCAGGATGCAAGGTCTATTATCCCAACAGAAGAAAAATATTTTTGTATTTAAAGTTTATGCTGCACTGTGCTGCAAATGCTGTGGCACTCTTTTTTAAGAAATGGAAGATGTTTACTTTTACAGGGACCTCAACACTGCCCCTTTCAGACTGGATCTTACTATAAAACTCTTCATGTTAAAGTGGTTTTAGGCTGAACACGTTTTAAATTATGTTTGTAAATGAACTTTTAAACACTGACCTGTGCTCATATTTCAGGAAGGAATGGGGAATTTATTTTCTTTTGTTTATTAGTGAAGAACTCTCAAGGACTTTGTTCACTTTCCAAAGCTACTTGTTTACATTGTACACTGCGACCACCTTGCCGCTTTTCATCACAAGCTTGAATATTTAAATTCTGTACCTATAACTGTAAAATAGCCAGGATTTCTCCTGTTTGTGATCAGTTATAATGCCTTTTTACAAAACAAACAAAAATGATAATAATAAAAAAAAAAAAAAACACAAACATGAATGGCTGTAAATTATTGTAACTTAATTAAATGAGCTTTTTCCCCTCTCAGGCTTTTTTTGACTGTTCCTTTCCCCACCAACTCAGGCCTTCTTGTCATAAGTATGAAACATAATTGGTGTACTTATATGTTTTAATAAAATATCTTGATGGAATCACTGTTCAGAATGTAAAAATGGGGAAAGGGAACATTTAATTCCATTTAGTGCTCCTTTTTTATGGATACTTTAGAGACATGTTTTGGCTTTTTTATTTTTTGTTTGGTTTTTTTTTTTTTTCTTATTAAACTGTCAGTGTTGTGATTGATTGTAATGGTAAGAAATATCCAACTAAACTGTGCTCTGGAAAGCTTTTCAGGTGCATTGGTTTTAAAGGAGGAGTGTTAAGTCTCTCAACACTTCAGAATCCAAATCAGCCAAAATTATTGTAAATCCATTTGTGTTCCCTCTTCAACATGGGCAATAATCTCAAATGTGCTATGCAGCCAGTTAATATTTTAGAAGATTTGAATGACTTTATTGACAGAATTGTTACAATGCACACTGATTGTACATAGATAACTTCTATCTGAAAAATTAAATTTAAACTAAAAGGACACATGGGCTCTTGTAGTTTTCTGCTGTGTTTTTTCTCTACAGCATTATTTATTCTCAGGTTTACCCTTAAAAGCATTAAACTCTTAAGTACTAAATTTTAATACTAAATCTGATAATTAGGGGAGATCTAGCCTGGTATCATATGGTTGGAGCCATATCTGTTGCTCTGATTTTTCTCTGCTCTTGCAGTGTTGAGCATTTTTTCCAATTAAACAAGTTTACATGAAAACATTTGTATAGCACCAAAATCTATCCACAGAGCATCTGTTAGGATCTCACTGTAGGCACAGTTGCTGCACGTTAAGTTTTAAGCTTGTTTAATGTAGGCTGTGACTCAGTTAATTAATGCTGCTTTATTTCTTGACTCTTCATTTTCCCAGAATCTGGAGGGGTTTGAGTTGTTTTGCTTTTGAGCTAAGTGGCTGAAGCAGTGTTTAGGGAGTGGAGTGGTGTCTGATAAGGTTGCGCACGTGTGCCATGTGTCTTGTCCTTCCAGTAGTGACAATCAAGAGGTTGGAGCATCTCCAGACATGCAGTGATCATTACTGCTTAGGTATTGCATAAATCCATCAATAGAGCATAGAGAGAGCAGTCCCATCGTGCCTGGTTCACCCTCAGTGCAGCTGTATTATGGCACGGTGGCTGAGCATGTCAAATATAACGTGGCTAGTTTGCATCTCAGTTGTCTCTGAAATAAGCCAGACACACTACTTGGTGGCTTTGATGATTAGGATCTTTGGCAGTTAGGCTGCTTAGGCTTCAGTGTTGTGATTGATTGTAATGGTAAGAAATATCCAACTAAACTGTGCTCTGGAAAGCTTTTCAGGTGCATTGGTTTTAAAGGAGGAGTGTTAAGTCTCTCAACACTTCAGAATCCAAATCAGCCAAAATTATTGTAAATCCATTTGTGTTCCCTCTTCAACATGGGCAATAATCTCAAATGTGCTATGCAGCCAGTTAATATTTTAGAAGATTTGAATGACTTTATTGACAGAATTGTTACAATGCACACTGATTGTACATAGATAACTTCTATCTGAAAAATTAAATTTAAACTAAAAGGACACATGGGCTCTTGTAGTTTTCTGCTGTGTTTTTTCTCTACAGCATTATTTATTCTCAGGTTTACCCTTAAAAGCATTAAACTCTTAAGTACTAAATTTTAATACTAAATCTGATAATTAGGGGAGATCTAGCCTGGTATCATATGGTTGGAGCCATATCTGTTGCTCTGATTTTTCTCTGCTCTTGCAGTGTTGAGCATTTTTTCCAATTAAACAAGTTTACATGAAAACATTTGTATAGCACCAAAATCTATCCACAGAGCATCTGTTAGGATCTCACTGTAGGCACAGTTGCTGCACGTTAAGTTTTAAGCTTGTTTAATGTAGGCTGTGACTCAGTTAATTAATGCTGCTTTATTTCTTGACTCTTCATTTTCCCAGAATCTGGAGGGGTTTGAGTTGTTTTGCTTTTGAGCTAAGTGGCTGAAGCAGTGTTTAGGGAGTGGAGTGGTGTCTGATAAGGTTGCGCACGTGTGCCATGTGTCTTGTCCTTCCAGTAGTGACAATCAAGAGGTTGGAGCATCTCCAGACATGCAGTGATCATTACTGCTTAGGTATTGCATAAATCCATCAATAGAGCATAGAGAGAGCAGTCCCATCGTGCCTGGTTCACCCTCAGTGCAGCTGTATTATGGCACGGTGGCTGAGCATGTCAAATATAACGTGGCTAGTTTGCATCTCAGTTGTCTCTGAAATAAGCCAGACACACTACTTGGTGGCTTTGATGATTAGGATCTTTGGCAGTTAGGCTGCTTAGGCTGCTGTGTTAACTTTTATTCAATCATATTCAGATTTACAATTCGCATTTGCAGCTGTTTAGATTTCTCCCCTCTGGTTTCAACTGAAGTGTAAAATGTGATGGTGAAGATAACAGTCAGCACCATATGCAATGGAGGCCAACTGTATTTTACTATTTAGGAGAATCCCATGTCCTCTGCAAATAAGCTATTTAGAATTCATTTTCTATGCATGCAGATTTGATGCTGCTTTTTGTTCATTTGTAATGAAAAGTCTTCGAGGAGTGTGTCCAGTTTCGAAGCATCCATCAGATACTAATGTTGCCCATTTATAAGAGGTTTGGGAAAGTAAGAATTCTGGTGACTGCAAGAGAACTCCTCGTATGGCTGTTGATAAAGATTCAGGTGTTGCGTCTACCATGCATGGAGGTCTAAGACTTCCATCTTAATCCTGTGATGTATTTCTAGTCTACCATTCCCAGTACTGCTGAAAAGAGTAGATTGTTGGTCAGGAGCTGTTTGGCTCCACTGTTAAATTTAGTGTGGTGTTCAGTGACAACAGCTTTTTTTGGTAGGAAATTACCTCACCATTACTTAAGAAGATGGGCAAGACTGAAGGCACACTAAAGGAGATCATCCTGACACAGCTTTTCTTCCTGATGAAACCTTCTACTGGAAGTTTTCCCATGATGAAGTTTTATTTGAACAGCAAACTAATGAAATCCTAGCTTCTTTTTGTGTACTATGGCTGAAATGAGGTTGTCTCATTTTTACCTGTACAGAAATAAAGATAGGCAATCTCTTGCTTCTGTGAGGGAGGAGTCAAAACTACTGAAATAAGTACATACATAAGTACATGAAATAAGTACTGAAACAAGTCCTCCACTTGTAGTGATGAAGGTTTATTTTACTGAACTATGTTGGGACAGATACATCGTGCTGTATCTCTTGTATCTCCATTCTTCCAACAAGCCAGTATGGCTGCACCTGAAATCTAAGCTTTGTTCTTAAAACTTTATGCTGAAGCTTTTATTTGTGAAACGCTCCAGAAGCAGTAGCTGAGAAATACAATTGTGTGCAACACTGGTAGGAGCAGAAAGGAGGACTTTTCATGGAATTTGTTATTTGTTTTTTATCCTTTCGATTTTCCTTCGTACTCCAGTTATTATTATTAAGACAAAAGTTGAGAACAACTGAGTAATGGGGAGCCTGTTCTGGTCCACCCATCCTTATATTCTCACACTGCATACAGTGTGAAGGATCCCTCTTTAGATACGGCCAATACGACAAGAAAGAATGTTTCTATAATGTATTTTCCGACCTTTTAGCCCTACCATTTTATTGGTAATTATCTTTTGGGGTTTTATTTGCAAAATTTTTAACAAGTGAAAAATTCCTTTGGGATAAATAATGACATTTAATGATGATTGTTAATTTGCATAAAGAAGTAAGAATTGTCGTCGTCGTCATGTTGAAAATCACTATTTCTAGACCTAACATAACAAAGAAAATATGTACTTTTTAAAATTATTTGTAGCTTCTTCAGAAACCTATTGTGGCAGCTGCTTACTTTGTTTTACATTTTAAAGCTCAGCATTAGGCTTTTAATTTATATTATATCAATATAATTCCCAGTTAAATATTTTTTTTAAATCTTAGATATTTGTTGATATTCTGTATGATATGTATTATAGAAAAAAGTTAAGAGGGGATGTTGTTTTAAAGAAAAGTGGCAAGTCTTGGTCAAGTGCGTAATTTTCAGTTTACTCCAAAACTTCATTATTTACATAAACTTTCTGATAAATACAGAAAATTTGTGTGCGCGTTTATTGTGGGTGATCAGGACTGTATTTCAAATTTGCTTTCTACCATTGTATAGTATGACTTACCTTCATGAATCTTAATCATTTACAGGAAGTAAACTGAGCAATAGTCCTTTGAGATACATCAGTGCTAACTGCAATTTTTTGAAGAAACTTAAAAGCGACTAATTATAGTTCTGTGTTTAGTCAACGCCTGGGATGTGGCTGTAACCCCCCAACTATTTAGTCCCAGCTTGATTCATTACAGCACTTCTTTTATTCTAGCTATAAGGAAGAATGTAGCCCTGTAATGGTCTGCAGTAACATGAGAGTTATAGGCGAGGTAGCTGCCCTCCGAACCTTGGCGAACTGCTTCCCCTTTCTGTAACAAGTGACCCACAGCCTTTGGCCACAGCAACCAACGTGGCCTCTTATGGAAGTTCCTGCACACCTGGACCTCTCTTCCACTATAGAACTCATGTGGAAGGCCTCATCTTGAATGTATGGATACTCAGGCAGCAGTGCTCCATTTTCCCTCGCCCTCCTGAAGTGTTTCCTTGGTGGCATATGTTTTTTATATGACTGAATATAAAGAAGATACTGATCAATCTGCTTCCCACCCCATGGCCACCAAGGACCCTGCAGCACCTTGAGAAAAGGGCAGCAGAACACAGACTGCCAGAACAATTCGTACATCGCACGGGTCCATCTCAGGCAGCGCTTGAAGGGCCTCTGGAAAGGAAGTGCAGACCACAGCATGGGCACGGAGCAGTAAAAACAGGATATTCATGGGATTTGTTTCTTATCCTTTTTCATTTTTCTCTGTAGTCCAATTTCTCACAGAGAAAGTGAACCCGGCTGTACCAGCTCTTCTGTGGAACTGATTTGCAAACTTTTAATACAACATAGTGCCTTTTTTTTGTGTGAAGGCTATAAATGAAAGCCAGTGAAAATACGCACTACTCACTAAAGCCATATGACATATTTTTCTGTTTAGGATTTCACGCCAAAAATAGTAATCCTAAACTTGAGCAAACTGGTGGAACTATTTGTGAGGGCTGGGCGTAACCGCGGTTGGTCCCGTATGGTGAAGAGGTGTCATGTTTGCACCAGCAGCAGGAGGGCATTGCTGGAAGGATGGTGGTCCTACAGCTGTCTGGGGGGTTTGTTGGGAAAGGGGGGTCAGGTGAGTGTGTATTTCTTGGGTGCCAGCCAGGCGGTTGCTGGGAAGGTGGTGCCCCAGGGTCCTGCCAGTCCCTCTGATCCCTGCTGTTCAAACCTGAAGTATCGCAGCCCAGCTTGGTACTGAACGCCCCTGATTTTCCCAGCCCAACGTCCCTCCCCACAGCTTCAACCTCATCGTTCCTCAGTGTGCTCTTTTGCTAACCTCCCCCAG